GTAATGAACACTGTGCACATCCTTGCTATTTTTTCGTTAATATTTGACTGGTAGAACCCAAGAAGCAGGGTGATAGTGTGGTTTCCTAATGCTTGTCATGAGAGCTGACAAGAGTAGGTCTGGGGCCCTGCAGATTTTGTGAGTATGTGCACTTTTCTGGGGTGAGGGTCTAAAACTTAGATTTTCAAAACAGGCTGAGCCTGGCTGGTGTGGCCCAGTGGTTGAGTGTTGACCTATGAACTAGGACAGGGTCGGCAAACTGCGGCTCGGCAAACCGCAGCTCGCGAGGCACATGCAGCTCTTTGGCCCCTTGAGTGTGGCTCTGCTCTTTATTCATTTATCAATTGAATACCAAAGAGCCGCATGTGGCTCACGAGCCGCGGTTTGCCGACCACGGAACTAGGAGGTCACTGTTCAATTCCCAGTCAGGGCACATGACCGGGTTGCGGGCTTGATCCCCAGTACGGAGTATGCTCCTGCTGCAGTCCCTTGCTCGTTCAGCCACCCCCTTGATTTATTTTTCTGTTATTTACCTTGACAAGCCCAGGGCGATCTCACTCTCCTGGTCCGATCGATGATTTTCATCATTGATTTTCTATCTCTCCATCCCTTCCCCTTCCTCTCTCTGAAATCAATAATAAAGAAAACAAAAACAAAAAGAAATGGGCTGAGACCCAGTATAGATCAGGAACTGGTGTTGCAGTCCCCAGGTTTCCCACCATTTCCTTGTGAATAGTACCTCTCAAGACCAGTAGCATAAATCGGGATGGCAGTGTTTGTCTTCAGGGATGTTTGAGTAAGCCCTGGTGAAGGTACAAAGAAGATGAAATAGTCCCTTTCCTGAGCATGCTTGCCAGGTGCACCAGGGTTAGCCACATGAGTAGACAGCTGCTGGATCCTTGGCCTGCAGGGATGAATACATTTCTTTTAAGGCCTTACACCAGTGGTTCTCAACCTTGGCTGCACATTAGAATCACCTGAGAATCTTTTTAAAATCCTGATTTCTGGGCCTCATCCTGCGGAAATTCTGTTTCTTTGTTACTAATGTTGTGGCCCCACCCCATAACAAATACATATTGTTTTTGTGATTAATCACTATGCCTTAATTATGTTCAATTTGTAACAATGAAAATACATCCTGCATATCAGATATTTACATTACGATTCATAACAGTAGCAAAATTACAGTTATGAAGTAGCAACGAAAATAATTTTATGGTTGGGGGTCACCACAGCATGAGGAACTGTATTAAAGGGTCGCGGCATTAGGAAGGTTGAGAACCACTGCTCTAGATGATGATGATGATGATAAAGGTGAAGCAATGAGGAAGGCTGGTCATTGTCAAGTGCTTCTATATTCTGGGCATTGTGCTCAGCCTATGAGGTACTTTTTATCTTCATTTAATGATTGGGGAACAGACAGGTTGATTTACTTGCTCAGGGTAACACAGGAAGTGACAGAGTCTGGATTTGAGCTCAGACATTTGCTTCCACACCCTAACCTCCTGACCACCATGGTTTCGTGAGTCTCACACTCCTGTCACATTAGGGGTCTTGGTCAAATGTTTCTGTGGTCAGGCCTTGCATGTCCCCACTTCTGTGACTCTCTTCAAACCAGCCCCTTTTCTAGAAGCTTTTACTGCCTCTCCAATTCTAGAGAGTCTGTCTACCTTCTAGGAAGCTTTCCTTGTTTACCCCCGAGTAGAGCCAGTTTGTTCCTTCTCTTTACTGCTGGGCTGTTTGTAGCACCCAGCTGACAGTCACATCTGGGCTTATGATGCAGGCCATGTGCTGGGATGGAAAGAACCAAACCTTTGGACCCAAACCGACTTGAGTTCACATCCCGTTTGGGTCAGGTAGGAGTTGCCAGGCTGTGATATCTGATCTTAATTCTGCGTAATTGGTAGCTTTTGAGCTGGGGAGTACTGTTTCAAAAGAAGCTTTTTAAATGGTGGCAGTGTACAAGGATGGATCAGTGCAGAGAGGAAACTGGAGATGGGTCAACCAATTACACGTCTGTCCTGCATAATAATTCTCTTGCTTGTTCACATATGGATTCAATAACTACATGTCCTTTCATTTGGAAAGATGAAGTCCCCTCGCTGGCACACAGCTTCTGGGGGTAGCAATAAGACTTACCTGAGAGATGGGAGCAGTAGTGCGCTCATGACATTCTTCCTCCGCTTTTGCCTGACAGATGGTATCCTTGATCTGCATGCAGGCAGTTTCCACCAAGAAATTCACTGCATCAGCTGTAATGATCGCCATGTGAATCCCACTATAACAATTTGTCATTTGGTTTTAGAGAACACTGTTGTGATAGGGATCGGGTGGAATGCAATTGTGGAGTCATCACAAGCCCCTCAAAGGATCTCTTATTTGAAGAAGAAGAACCCATTGCTGCTGGTGGCATCAGGCCACTTCCTTCTTTGGTCATAAGTTTTGTTAGAAATTGAGAGGTTTTTGATAGTTTTGAGATCAGTTTGTGAATGCCTAAAATCTGCCCCAGACCAAGGGTCCTCTGTCCCGAGAACTTCCTGAGGAGTGAATGGTGCCCATAAAGAACAATGGTAAGTGTGAAGTGGGAGTTACTGCTGGCCTGGCCGGTGTGTGTAGAACACCTAGCTCGTTGGAAGGCTGGGCTGCAGCAGATGGCCCCTCCTCGGGGTCTGTAGGGGCCCAAATCTCATCATCCGCTGAAA